ATAATACCAAGCTCATAAAAACACAAAAAGTCTGCTTCTGCTTCTTACTGGTGGCCCCCAACCTCTAACCTGGTCTGTGTGATGGACAGATTTAGAGGTCCATGTGGGACACGGGCACCTTGCAGAGACATTGTTCTTGTTTTTAAGTTAACGCCTGTTTGCCCAACCGTGAGTGCAACAGCTCCTGAGTCACAGCTCCTAAAGATAAGAGGTGTTTTCATGACATCAGTCAGTTGTGTTGCCTTGTCTTAGCTAGTTTTAGACATCAGCAACTTTTATTGTGGTCTCTGAAAGCAGCGTGCCTCCCCACCAGTAAGTGGATGGATGACAGTAAGAGGTCAGTAATGGCTGCATGTGATAGACGGCGGCCAGGAAGCAAGTAAATGGGTGGGAGGAGGCAGAGGATGTGTGCTCCGTAGCATGCGATCATAGTAGAGTCATATAACTAAATTAAATAAAATCACATCGACAACTTATTTTTTTTCTGAGCCTAGAAAATGCAGAAGCTGCTTCTGGAGTCTGAGCTACGATGTGTATGTTTATGTTTTAAGACACTAAATACTAGCAAATAAGGCATCACTCCTGCCACACTTAAACCTGCTGGATTAGTTTTGTCTCCTGTTTGTCGCTTCAGCCATGTGTTTGGCATTGGTCTGCTTTGAATAGCTTTGGCTGTCATTATAGCAGATAATGAAATCTTGAGTTATATCCTTTGAAAGGGAGTAGTTGTTGTGAGTCCATTTTTTCTTTGTGCGAGACAACGCACAGCAAAGCCAGAAATTCAGCCAAATATACTTGTAACGCTAAAAGTCAGCATCCAGTTAACCAGAGATGAATGTGCAGTTTTTAATATAATTTAATATAGGCTTTTAATCTCTACTTTTGGCAGCGACTCTCTCTTTATGTGTTCTCTTAGCAGATCTCACTATAAATAGTTGTGCTCCATTCTTTCCAATATTCCAGTATAATTAAAGTAGTATATAAAGATGGATTTTGGCATCTGATAGCTAACAGTCACTCGTAATCTCAAATGACTTCGCAAGATGACGGGTTTTCAAATCTCTAGACGATTTAACCACTCTGACATACAATCTGTGTCATATCAGATGTTGTGCAAATATAGTGTAAACTGCCAACCGCTCATGTCAACCAGGTTCTGAAATCGCCCACGTGCTGTCATGAGCTGCGGATGCATGTCAATACAAGTGCTGTACACGTGGCAACCACCAGTTCAAGTAATCTAGCAGGTATTAAAATCATAATTTAATATGTCATCGCAGGGTTTTTCCTGGATCGGATGGGTCTTTGGGGGATGACTAAGCATTACAGTAAGGGCGATTGGTCTGTATACAGTACGAACAAGGAGGTTCTGTTACCTTATTTGACAGAAACCGAAGCATTTGCTTGTTATCTCAGACCATTTGATACACAGAAATGTTTATTACGCTTGAGTAAATTAACCCCAATTAACAAAAACGAGTTATTTTATTTATTTATTTATTAGTTGTCAATTGTTATCACTTTTATGCTCGTCTTTGCTGTGTGATAAAATTGTTTGTGGTGTTCCAAAAAGTTCCCCTATGCAGGAAAAACCCTTGTGAAATGGAAAAAGCAAGTGACGGAAAAGTTAATTGTCCCACCAGGGGAAGTAAATCTGCTGATGGGCAAAAATGACACCACATAAAAAGACACACACATAAAGACAAGTAGTTATTATTACTGGATTTTAAGATAATGGATACAAACTATTTTAATTTAGTTGTTCAGTGACTATTGACAAGGTAAACCCATCAGAACCATTAATGGACAAAACTGTCTTTTAGAAGTATGTGATGTGAGCAACAGTAAAGATTTATCAAATACATGAATATTACAGTGTTGTTACAGCTGGTATTATAGCTACATTTATCTATGGAGCTGCAGTGAACTTCTGCTTTGTATTGTCATATGATCTATAGGATCAGCTGCTGGCAGTGGCTCTCCCACCAAACTGGACATACATGTGTACTGTTGTGACAAACATTTGATGCCAAACAATCACCATATTGGCAAAAAACAGGAAAACAAACCCCAGGCTGAAAGTAATCCTTTAAGTCAGGTTCAGTGCACTCTGAGCTAAAATATCTTAAGCCAAGTCAGGTTTTTACATTCTTGCTCTCTGTTCTTACTGGACGCTTTGTACAGCACTGAGCCCTTGTCTGTATGCACCATTTATGTAATGAGAAAGAATAGCACGGCACTGTTCAGTTTGCCTTGCGGAGTTCGTCTTAATATAAGCCCCCCTGACATGCAGCAAGAATGCCCATTTGTTGACATGAGATTGGTGCTCGTGGGAGCAGTTGTTTTGAATATCTGTAGGATATTGATATTGATTACTGCGGTGTACACGAGTGCACGCAGAGCATATTTTCCCACTCCACCCTGGCCTGACTGATAAGAGCAGATGAGTAGAGAATGGAGTGGTGACGTACTGCCAGTGCAATGTTGTGATTGAATGTGTTTTCATGGCTGTTAATAGACCTACAGTATATTAGATGGTCACATCAGATCCACTTTACTGTAACCTAGACAGGCTCATGTTTGAGCTACCTGACTTTCATAGCAATGTTAGCTGTAATATTGAAGCATATAAACACCTTAACAGAGATTTTAATGGTTTACAACTTAGGATCACACTCTTAAATAACACTGCTATCAATTCTGAACATAGTGATCGTGAGATGCACATACGTTCCTCGACACCATCAAACTGGCCTATGAGCTTGTGTCTTAGGTGTTGTGTTCATGTAAACATGCTTATTATAGCGACAGTGACTTCTCACTCTGTTCTCTGCTCTGATGTAAGACCCTCTATTAGGTGTGTTACAGCAGAGCCCTTTCAAGGAACACCAATGTATTTACTCACTTTCCATTTAGGTTGAACAGAGCCGAGCCCTTGCCTGATGTCACTGTGCGACAATCAGCAATCAGTGCTTTATTAAGTAGAAGTTTCCAAGGCCTCGCTCCAGCCCCTTCCTCCACAGCTCGTCAGTCAGACCTCTTTAGTGATCAACCCTTTCTCTCCTTCATCCTTCCATTCATCCGCTCTTTGTTATGTTGTTTCCCTTGACACGCCCTTCCTGTCTAGAGGAAGTTTGCTATTGCTAATGTTATTAAGGAAAAGCCTTCCTTCTGACAATTATAAATTACTGCGACTGGACCTGTTGGTTCAGTAGGCATCCTTCACTAACCATATTTTCCATCATTGTGGTCGATTGTAAAGGCTGCACCTGTGAGTGTCCATTCAGCACAGCACCTGAGCAGTCACGGTGCTTGGAAGTTTTTTTTTGTTTTTGTTGTTTGAGCAATGCATCTAAGTTGACATTGACTGTTGATTAATGCAGACTGACACAAAGAAAGTAGAAAGACTGATTGAAGTAGAGCACCAAGGCTGGTAAAAGCTCCTATTTTACTGACTAATAAACGGTATGAGATTATGAATGAGCTCTTAAAAGGCTTTACAACCTTTGCTTCGAGCAGACTGCTAGACGTATCTCCAGCTGCTGTATAATGGCGCCTCTCTCCAACATGTTCCGGCAAAGGCAGTGTGCCTCCACTATGGTGATCAGGTGAGGGTGTGTTCTGGGCGTGCTTAGGTTGAGTAACACACATATACACATAACATTGGAATTTTTATCACCAGAATTTTACAAGACCAACTTCAAAGTTTTGCCAAAGGTGATAGCAGTGTACAGCAACATGTGAAAGAGGGGCGGATGACATAACAGCTGGAACTGAACTTGTTTACCCTGTTGTACTCACATAAAGTGACAGAACCTCCATATTCCACGAGTGGTACTGATTTATGCTTTTGTTGATACTGTAGTGAATGTATCACTCAGGGTGTATGTATGTTGTGTATTTAAGGCTAAGTGGTGTAACCCTGTGATGCCAACTTGAAAAGTGTGAGTGCTGTAAATCCTTGAGAAGAGGATGAGCGGAAACACTTTCTCAGAAGCAGAGAGCATTGTTGAATGCCATTCTCACTGTCCTCGGTTTTCTTTCTTCCTGTCAGGAAAGGCTTCGCTGATAAATGACATCCTGCAGCGCTGTTCATTTTTTCCTCCTCACTATATATCAGCTATTTTATGCTTCCACAATCAAATTTCCCACAGTCACACTCTACCTCACATATTCTTCCTATTTCATTGTTTCTCTTGTGCTTGTTTTGCAGCACCCCTGTGTCTCTCCTCTCACATACACAAAGAAAACAGGGAAAGCATTCATGACGCTCTAAGACCGAGCGCTCTGATCTACAGTCAGTGCTCATATAAACACTGCTAGTGAATCGGTCTCATAGTCGGAGAACCTGGGCAATTACAGGGCCAGGTGTATCACATTTCTCTGTCCACCCCTCAGGCAACATCTGCGGACAGAAGGATTTTCTATTGTTTTTTCCTATATAGGCCAGGGTTATCAGTTCATGTGCAGGCGTGCCTCTGAGAGCTCTGTGTGGTTTTGAGACAGTATGTCCTCTGTACCAGCCTCATTAAAAGAGGCACGGTTCAGTAGACAGCAAACACACACACACACACACACATACACGCACACACACATACACATAATCACCCACCCTCTCATCTCCGTCTTTGTCCCCACTCTGGTCCTGTCTCCATTAACTCATCCCTTCACCTTTCAGTATCTATCTCACCACTGCTTGCTGCTCAAGCAAGACAGCCTGCAGCTCTATCAGTAATACTGCTGGCCCTTTAGAAGCAGTGGTGACATTAATCAAGCAGCTACCGCACTTTATTATTCATTATAATATGTTGGGGAACATAATTTTGAGCTTGGTTTACCAATAAAGATATTCACTGAGCTTAACCAGGGGTCAGATTGTTTTGCCGTCACCTACAGAGTCTGAGCTATGCTTGAGCTCGTCTAGTGCTTTAACTCAGATCCAATTCGATTCCTGGTCAGTCATTAATTATTATTCCCCTCTCTCTCCCTCTTGCCTCCAGGTGCAGCAGAAGCAAAGTGTCAGTGGTGAAGAGGAGGGAAAAGAGTCAGAAACACCAGTTCGTGAGACTGACAGTCAGTATGGCACCTGGGAGACAGGGCTGCGCACTGATGACAGGTAAACATGCAGACAAGATGTGATGTCTTTTTGTTTGTGTTCATGTGCCAAAATCACAAGCCAGATTTCCCCAACTGTTGTAACTGTTCTTTGCATTTGAAAATATATGCAAACACAAGTACAGTAACCTCTCTAACTTAATGTTGAAAACAATAGTATCAATACAATGTCATGTGTGGTAACAACATGTGATTCAGGTAGTAATGTCAGTTTTGCTTCCAAATAAATATTTTTCTATTAACTGGATTAAAATTGACTAAATTGGGTCAGGTCTTGGCTGTAAGGCTGGAATATAAAACAGCATGGCACCATGGAACTACGAAAATGATTGCTACCTGCACAGTACAGATTCAATTCTACATCCACTAGCTGTAGGCAGCCAGCCTTAGAATTTCCCTGAGATTTAAATAAATGGAGAAATCAATAAAATGTTCAATTTTTAATGCCAGTAGCAACAACCTTAATATTAGGGTCTTGTATGTAATATTGATTAAATGTTGTTTTGCCTCAAATCATTTAAGGCCAGTTTGTGCAAGTGGTTTATTGACTGTTCCAAGTTTGTTTTTGTTTTGTTTTTTCACATTTGCAGAATAGAAAGCATTGCATTTATCCTAATTAATATTAAATGTTTTTTTAATTTAACATTTTTTTATGCTGAATTGTGCAGAAGCTCTGTATGGAATGCGGTGTAGGGATGCATGATATTGGATTTTTGCAGATATGCCTATACTTTTCAACAAATTTTTACCAATTGCTGATTACCGCACATACTTTTGTTACCACAGACATAAAAACCAGTGCTTTGAATATGTGCACATCCACTTAGCAAAATAAGATAACAGTTTTCACTTACATGCAACATTTATTATTATGCAACATTTTCAAACAAAACTATAAACTTCTAGGTTAAGAAGCGTCATTTGTCTGTCAGTGTTAATTTTAGTTTGATGACAATATTACTGAGTTCTTATTGCTGTAATGTTTAGGTGTGATATATACGTTTGAAGAAAACCAGAAGACCAGTGTGTAGCTATTTTATGAATGAAATCACTTTGAATAAAAGTACATTTTAGAGGATTGAAAGTCATCAGTGATCAGATTTTAGATTCTAAGCAAATCCTCTTAGACCAGATGCTCTAATCAATAACTGTGTACATAAGAATTGTTTAAATGATAAACGATAACACTAATGTTACATGGTGTTTTGAAAGCATAAAAACTAAATCCAAACATGAATAAATCCTAAGTTACTGGTTGAGCTGGCGACCCATGTACAGGGGCTACAGTCCCCGACGCAGTGGCCATGGGTTTGAATCCCGCTCATGGCCCTTTGCTGCAAGTCCTTCCCCCATTCTTCTCCCCCAATTTCCTGTCTCTCTCTGTCCTATACAAAAAAAGGCAAAATGGCCAAAAAAAGGACAGAAAGCTAAAATGCTGCAATAACTTTAACACTTCCCAGTGATACAGACAGATAGTTCCTGTGTGTCAGTAGTAACACTGCATTAAGCTGCAATCTATTACTGACCTCCTGTGGTCGGAACATAATATCACAACATTAGCCAACACTGATTAGAATGGATAGCAATTCAATTCAGATTTTTAATTTTTTTATTTTTTTTAAGTGAAAATCTCAATCTATTTTATACACATTGCTATTGTTTATCCCTTGTCATGGTGACAAGGGAGGCCTGCAGTCTTCTTGTCGATGCGTCATCCCATAGCTTTCCACAGTCTTTACAGGAATTAAAGGAACAAAAGAGAAGTTATGACTCAGATTATGTTTGATTGTAACTGTGGTCACTTCAACCACACAGCTGATTTTTTTAGAAGGATTTCCAAACTTCTTTTTCTTTCCATCTATGGCAGCCTGACACCTGCCACACCCAGTTCAGACGGCACTCTCAGTCCTTCACCGAGGAAGCCCACTCCACCCCACACGCCAGGTGATCATGCCTCAGCGCTTGAAGGTGACGCTCTGGATGGCCTCCCTCCCTCATCCTCATCTGAAAACCAGTCGCTCCCTTTCCCTGATGTAAGTGTTAACCACAGCTCAGGTCTCTTGATGGCCAGTATCACCACATGCTGCTCTGTAATATCTGGTGTGTGTTGTGACTGCATTATAACTTGTGTTCCTAATTACGCACAGTGTTTACATGTTATCTGATATGTTTCTCGTGCCTCGATATCCAGGCTCCAACCGCTCTATTAGACACCAGTGCTCTCCGCTCCAGAGCCCAGCTTGGGAAGAAGCGAGCCCCGCGGACACGACCGACCAGGGCGGCCCGTCAGACTGCTGCACTGGCAGAGACAGGAGCCGCAGAGGACTGGCTTTATCGAGACTCTACAGGTTAATACTGTTCCTATACATTCAAACCTGCTTTTGTTTTAATGTTAATACTAAACAGATAAAATGTTTCTGATGTTTATCAACAGGCCAGCTGAATTGTTAATAAGGTTCTAACTAATAGATGAGCTTCTTCGGTTTTCAGTAAACACATCCGACAGAAATCAGGAAATCAATTGATGCAGTATTCCAGATTTTATTGAGTTTAGTTCTTTTTTATTTGTGACCCAAAACTATGTTCTGTAAAATATTGGCTGAATGATACAAACACTCCTTGACACACCGGTTTTTGTGGTCCCACGCATGAGTCCACATCCTATTTTGGCACGTCACAAAAGCATGAAACATCGTCTTGCTATGCTGACCACACATTAAATTTAACTAATATTAGAGGCCTAAAAAGTTGGTGAAATGTTGACCAAAAACTGCATTCGCAGGAAAATTCTTGGGCCCCAAATGCCACCCTTACTTTAAGATTTTGCCCCCCCCCTTTTTTTTCAAGGCCCACCAAATAAAAAATCGACTTCTACTGGAACCATTTAATACTTTTGCATTCGCAGAAACTTTCCCTTAAGAATAGGAACCTTTTGATATTCTCCTATCTGCACTTAAGCAGTAGTAACCAGAGTGTAAATTAAGTTTCATAGTTTTAATCTTATTTAAGTCACAGCTCTTGGGTTTGTACTTTGGGTTTACTTTATTCGTCAGTTACGCTACCATTATTATACATCTGCCATTTTAAAAAATCGGCCCCTACAAACACACTGGTTTGCTTGTAGTTTGTGTCCACTATAATCAGGATGAGAAGAGATTTTATAGCCAGTGGCCTGACTGCTAGGGTTTGTTACAATTTTTTTTTCCGCAAAGAATGACATTTAAACAGAATCTGAGACGACTAAATCCAGGATTTTCATTCACATTTGAGTGAGTGACATTCAGAGGGAATCTGACACCTCTGCACTTTTATTACGTCACTGGGCTGATTTGCCTAATCTTCCTGGTGCCTTGGTCCTGCCTTGCACATGCAAAACACAATGCAGTAAAGGAGCCCCTTTTGCTGGGAAAGTTCCTGGGCGTCACTTCTAAGAAATTACTGAACCTTTGGGTGAAAAAGCACTTGTTAATTTATATTCTCTGAACAACAGAGCCAAAGGCTGCAAGTAAAGACGATGAGTCAGACTCTGAGGAGCAGCCCAGAGGAGCTGATGCTAGCCCTGCTGTTGCCTCGCAGCCACAGAGGATCGCCCTGTTCCCTGGTGTGGACCCTTCAGCTTTAAAGGTGAGCCAGCAACTGTGCATCCAGCACGTATCATGTTTGTTAACCAGCCCTGATGCAGTGGCTAATGCAGAGCACCAGACAGGCTTTGCATCAGGCATGTCTTCCCTTGCTGTTGTATTTTAAACCCACTTGGAATGACCTTTACTAAATATGTTGTGTCTGTTGTCAGGCTCAGCTGAAAAAGAGGGGGGATTCTGACAATCAGAGTGATGGACTTGCCCCCTCTCCTTCCCAGCCGTCTCGCTCTCCCAAGTCCCCCTTCCTCCCTCGGGCGGCGCGGGTGCTGCCCCCACCTGGCGGAAAAGAAAATGGGTAAGCAACACCTATTAGATATGAAATCTTCACAATATTGGTCGACATATTGTTTAGCTCTACAACTGTTCACTCTGCTCTTATCTTTGCAGTGAGGAGGACTCACCACAGTGGCTGAAAGAGCTGAAGTCCAAGAAGCGCTTGAGTCAATATGAAAATGAGAGCTAAGTAAACAATGAGGTAAGACAGTTTTTGAGTATACTCCACATTTCTGGTTTAAGAAATAAGCAACCAATCAACAACGAAAAACTCATCATTATTTTGCATCTCTTTCCTCCCCTGAAGGTTGCCTTAACAGATGAAACAGAAGCCTTAATGTTTGACCCAGAGAGTAGGAGGGGGTGAACAGCTGCTGATGTATTTTTTTATTTTTTTTTTCCATTTGTTATTTTCTTTTTTTTGTTCTCTTCCCATCTGGGTCGATAAATGTGCATGGTGCCTTTTTTTTAATGGAGAGTCTCTATCTTGTGGAAAAAGAAAAACAAGCTAAGAAGAAAAACATCAGGCTGCTCTGCTTCATCCATTTCATGCTTGAACTTATGGAAGCTCTTCTGCAGCAGAAGGGACTTCATATCAAACACTTTATTAGGGACCAGGAGAAAGTGGGGGAAATGGAGAAAAAGGCAATGATCGGCAATTATTTCCTGCCAGGCTGCATTTCAGGAAATGGTTTAACTTGTGGGACCACGACGACACCTCTTTATCCTGGACGTGCTTCATCGCATACTGGAGGACAATCCAGTCAATCCTTTACGAGATGTAGTTTCTAATATGTAGAAGCTGGCTGCGTTTGCATCGACTGTATTTGTGTTATCTGTGGAGGTTGTTGTAAGAAGTCACACAAGCATTGCCATAGGATAACATTTCAGACACTAATGATTTTTTGAATATAGAGAACAAATTACCACTGACTTGATTGTCAGTGGCAGCGTGTATCATGTTAGTAACTGTAATCAGGAGATGTTATATTTGTATTATCATTGATTTAACAAAGACAGAGAGCTAGTTTTGAAAGAAAAACATTCAGATACAGCACTACAATAGAGGCTCCACAGCCTTTTACTTTGATACACTCCTCAACCTAACAGTTGCTGCATACTGTATATCTTTTTGTCTGATTATCTGTTTGTCTTTGTGGAAGAGGGGAACTTTTTGGACACTGCATCCTGTCAATCATGCACACTCCTAATCAGCACAAAAACGCTCCTCAATCTTGTATGAAAACACTACCCCGACTGTCTTTCCTCCTTTGAATAGATTAAGTAATTGTAGTATCCAATATAAGCCATACTTTCACCTTGCAGCCCTCACACACTCCTCAATCATGTTTTGACAATGTTTTTCCAATGAATGTGCAATTTTCTCTCTATTTTGTCCCCATTATACATGCATGCACAATCTTCGCTGTCACATCAGGCTCGGTTGGGCTCAGCGCAGCGGGGTGTTGGCTCACACTACTCCAGCGGAGGGACGGTTCATTCACTACACTCTTCATCAAATTAATTCTAAACAAATGTGAACATTTGCACCTTGCCTACAGCTCAACTGAGTCTTCCTCCTCACGTTTGCCATCCACCCACTTAACTCTGCGCTTTTATAAAGCACTTTGTCACTTGATGCACTACAGCACTGACCTCTGCCCCCTCTGGTTGGCCATGTGTCGTCTTCTGTATCGTCGGCCTGCTAATGCAATGCAAGTGAATGTGTTAATCGAGGCTTCGGAGTGACTGTCCCTGGTTTCTGTGTACATGGACGTTTTACTTTGTCATAAAATTGAGGGTTTATTTTTTATGTCCTACTTTGTCCTTTTTTTTTTTATTTGAAAGTAAAGATGTATATTGCACTGTGTTGTACTGGCCAGTGTCCTAAAGTGAATAAATTCTTAATAAAATTTACTTGACTTGAGCCACAGCGTCTGGGATTTCTTTACCATGACAAAAAGCAACATTTTTCATTGTGTTTCTTACATCAAATCACCATTTGAAAGCCATATTTAGCATAGCATGGTCTGACAATAATCTCAGCATTGGATTTAACAAGATTCTCCGTGTTTATTCGTCAAATCTGCGTATGTAAGTGTTTGATTTTACTTATAATACTAAACCAGTTTGAGAGAGGGAGAAACTTTTGTGTGTGGTTGGGACTGGGTGTAGCCTGTCAGTGTGTGTATGTTTGTGTGTGTTTGTGCTGAGCAGGGCTGTTTGCTGAATCCTCTTGGCTCTCTCTCCCTGTGCCCGCACACAGTGCTCGCTGGCAGCCAGGCGGACAGGCAGGGCAGCGTGTGCCAACACAGCTGCCTATTGAGAGGCAGCGTTACGGACACAATGTGAGCGACAGACTTGCTGTATCAACAGCTCCCCCTTTTCTGCTGTTGTGGCCAGAAATAAACCATAAATACCCCCCCTGTCCCTGCCCTCTAATGGCTCAACCCCACCAAACACCAAGTGACAACGAAAAAGAGGGACACTACCACTTACTAGCAGGCATACGCAGGTAAAAGCCTCATTCTGGACACATAGGGATCAAAAACACTGGTGTATTAATTCCTGTGCAGTGGAATTAGATGGTGGTGCATCAGTGAGGACCCAGGTTTGGAGGATTTTGATGTCATGGATTGAAAGTTAACCTAATGAGTGTATACTTTACAGAATAAGCTGCTATGTTAACAAGATGCCAGGCATGTTATTCCTACTTTACATCAAACTGAATACAATCCTCCCGTCTAAGGTTACATAAATTGTAGCTGTGACATTGAGCATTCCTCCTGTTGGCATATTTGTGCCTGTGTGTACATGCATGATGGATGGTGATCTGTTTGTGTGTGTGCTGCTGCCAAAAAAGTGGAGGAGCAGTGGATCAGGAGGATGTCGGAGCAGCAGAGTGCCCCAGAGCAGCTGGCTGCTGGGAAGAGCCAGGGTGGAGCTGGAGCCACGTATAAGGTACTTTAACAACTGTTTGTCTGGAGATGAAAACTTGGTTTGATCAGAGAAGTAAAATCACATTTATTCACATGTTGAGTCCAGCTATTGACCAAGACTCTGACATTCTGTTTATTATGCCGTCTGGTAGACAGTTATTTCTAAGTGATGCCACTATTTTTTCTGCAGACCCTTTTTCTGTGTCTGTATCATCCCTCTTAGTTGCCAGTACACAGCATGCCACCTAATGGAGGCCTTTATCTCAGACTCTCCTAGTGGGTTCTGCAAGAAATCCAACTGTGTTGGTTCAATGCTGGCTAGTTAAAGGTCAATCTCTCTCTTTTTCTGTGATCCAGGTGGTGCTATTTGAATTTGAAAACTTCCAGGGCTGCAAGGCAGAGTTCTCTGCAGAGTGTAAAGATGTGACAGAGAAGGGACTGGAGAAGGTTGGCTCTGTGATTGTTGAGTCAGGACCGTAAGTACTTTATATAACATAGTAAGAAAATAGTTTCCAAGATAAGTTACTTAAACTGAAACTTTTCCTCCCTTTCCCTCTCAGCTGGGTGGGTTATGATCGCCATGGGTTCACAGGGGAGCAGTTTATTCTAGAAAAGGGCGAGTATCCACGCTGGGACACCTGGACCAACAGTCAGAACAGCTACTCCCTCTTCTCTCTAAGGCCACTCAAAGTGGTGGGTGAATAATACAAAGCAGACAATGCAGCCTCCCACGAATTACATTTAAAACAAAAAATGTGCATGAGCAGCCCACATATTACTTTTGCCCATTGTATTTGGACCACTGGACACACCATAAATCATCGGTATACTTAGCCAGCATCTACTGGAGACACACGAGGGATTTAGTAACAGTTACGTGTCTGTTTCTGCTCTATAGGACAGTGCTGACCACAAGCTCCACCTGTATGAGAACCCTGGGTTTACTGGGAGAAAGATGGAGATAGTCGATGACGATGTGCCCAGTTTGTGGGGCCACGGCTTTCAAGATCGTGTAGCAAGTGTCAAGGCTCTTAACGGAACGTAAGATCCCTGCCTGTTTCAACCATATCACACCTTCAGCCTGGTGTGTCTTTTGTTTATTTTTTTTTCTATTTAGCCCGCCAAACTTTAGGTCGTTTTCCCATTTTTTCCATGACATGGCCCAATTTGTTGGTTTTCTCTGTTTCCAGATGGGTTGGCTACATGTACCCAGGCTACAGAGGTCGGCAGTTTGTCTTTGAGCGAGGAGATTTCAAGCACTGGAATGACTGGGAGGCCCCCGCGCCGCAGATCCAGTCTGTCCGACGTGTGCGGGACATGCAGTGGCACAAGAGGGGCTGTTTCACTGTTCCTGACCCAGCTCCAGCTCCAGCTCCCGGCCCCGGACCCGGCCCCGGCCCAGACCCCGACCCTGCCCCAGCACCTCCTGCCCCTCCCGCTGCAGCTGGATCCAGCTGAGCAGGGTCTTCACCTGCCTCCCAACCCCTCCCACAGCCTCCTGCACGCTGCCAACAGTGCCTGCCCTCTGCCTTAACCTAACCACGGCAAACGCTGCTTGTACCCAGTGAGGAGTGCCATGTATGTTTCAGTGGCGAATAAAAAGTTGTTTGACCTGGAGTTTGTTGGTGATGTTATACTTGTAAGTTGAGGTGGAAATGGCTTTAACTGGCATGCCAAAGATTTGGGAGGGAAAAAATGCTATCAGAGATGTGAAAATGATATCTAAGAAGAGAAAATGTCGCCTACATTTGGCTGATAATTTTATTCAAGACAAACTGCAGAGGTGTTTTGAACTTATTTTTAAGTCACTTGTGCCACTTTTAATGCTTGTGATTTCCTATTTTAGACAGACAGCGCAAAACCTCATCCAGCTTTAGGGGCGCATGACTTATTCAGTGAATATGTGGATACGCATCTGCTTAACATCAATGGAAATGATGTCATGCTGTATGTATGCTTGCTATTAAAACAGAGTGCACTGCATTCCCTTCCATAGTCATCATTGTGCATCTGATGGTTAATTATCCTCATCATGAATGACCACCAGCTAAGCATTAGGAACTAAATAACTACATCCATCTCAGTAAAAATGCATCTTTAAAACTAGACAGCTTTGATTAATTAAATATTAATTTTGTCATAACACGGAGTCAAGATCTATGTTGCACAACCCAAATAGATTCCATCTGCAGGCATGATTTCTTTTTGTGATGACAGGCTGTTATTTCGCAGCTGTTGATGTAATACTCAACAATAAAAACAACTCCCCTCATAACATCACTAAGAGGAGCATTTTCTCCATAGTGTAGAGTCCTAATCAGTTAACCACAGAGAGCAGTGTCACAAACCTACATTTTAACTACATCAGTAATGAATCATTGCAGAAAAATGCAGTTGGCCAGCTGTGATCCTTCACTACCTCACATCTGTATCATTCAGGATCCTGACAAGGTGGCTCTCCAAGAGGCTTTCAGCAAGGAGGTTGAGTCAGTTCACCGATCCTGTGGATTTCTGTTATATTGTTATAATTCTCAGTGTGTATTTTGGACTATTTCTGGGCAGTCGGTCACTTCCCTGTACTTAAATCTGTGGTTTTCACTGTAGAGGCCTTCTTGATGTGAGCTCCACATCTATAATTAAGACATACACTAAAAGGCTGCAGTACAATATGGAGCCAAATTGCTTTTTGCACCCCTAAATTCTTAGACAGAACCTTTGTACAAACACGGCCTTACATGTTCTTCATAAACGCTAGATTGGTGGGTTTTGAATGTTTAACCGACAGGTGACTTTGTCATAAACAACTCAGTTTCCCACAACTACTTCACTTCTCTGCAGTGGGGACTGTAATGTCGCCAGATACTGATCACAAATCCTTCCTGTAATCCCAGTTAATCCCAAATAATTAACTCGTGATCCATTGCAGAGTCTTTATCTGTGTGTAAATTAGGTGTAATGACATTTTAAAAAATAAAAAATAAAAAAATCCCAACAAAACAGTCATCAGCAGCACATGCCTTTGATCACAAATATTTATAAATCTGAATTTGACAGAATCCCGACTGTTTCCATAATCAACCATCTGGCTTGTAAAAGTAGATATTTCTGGCCATTCTTCAATGGGTTCGACTGCAGGATTTATTCTGTACCCAACAGCAAGACTTCATAAAATACAGCTGCATAATGTGACTCCTCAGACAGTTATCTTCATGCTTTGAAAATACAAGCACAACTGGGATTTATTTTTTCTATAAATACAGAAACTGCAGATGGGGGCAGAATCATCAGTTTTAAAATTGATTCTTTTGAGTTTTACAAGCTGTTAGTGAATAATGATGTAGGGGATGGCAATAAGCAGTGCGTTATAGGCAGATGTCTGAATTAATGATGTGACTGCTGCATGCACATGCACAGAAGAATGTGTGCAACAACAAGTAAGTGACCACAGGGCATGATATATATGTATATATATATTTAATTTTTTTAAAACTGAAGTATTGATACTATGAAATTAAGATTCTATGAAACTGATAAAGTGAAATTAGTATTGATACTCAGAACAAGATTTATAGTATAAACAGGTGCTGAATTGTTCGCTTCAGGGTGCAGTACAACCCTAATGGTGGTCAGAACAAATAACTGTTGTTCCCTGCCTGAATCCTCCTAACAGCTGCTTTAAAATAATAATAATAATAATAATAATAATAATAATAATAATAATAATAATAATAATACTTTTGCAAACTTCATACATGTCATATTCACCACAAAATTAATTCACAAATGTATATTTTACCTTTATTTAATTTTCTTAGAGCAACCACTACACCAACATAAGATAAGTGCTAATGCCCACTGAACTGTCCCTCATGAACCATTTAGACACTGTCTCATTGCATGTGAGGATCTTTCTTATGATTCTGTGTACTGTAACTTTAACAATATGTTCATAATGCGCACCGTTTATATAGTTTATGATAGCCTTTTTTACATCTGAAACTCTAAGGTAAATCAAATGGACTAAGAACCCTATAGAGATTGCAAAATAAACATTTAAAGCATCACAACATTTAAATACCTAAATAAAATGAAGGCACAATGAAATTGCACATAGGTAAAACTGTATGTCAGTAAAAGCAATTGCCCACCACTGAAACAGACAACCCTGCTGCATCACAGTCCAAATTCTAAAAAACACAACTGAGTTGTCTTCTGCAGTGACACACGTTCACTTTGACCTCATTGTGTTTAAGTTATACATATTATTTAAATACCTAAATTTGCACTTCACTTGAAAAAAAAAAATGTAAGTCCATGTTCACACTATATATTTGCATCAGTCATGAAATAGCTGTTGAACAATTTTAATGATTGTGGACATTCACACACAAGGTCACTCAAACTAGTCAGAGGAATAAAACACAACATTTCAGTGTTGGAATAAGTATACAGCTACTGTAGCTAAGTAAAACTCGTAATGATATAAAAATACTCTATTATAAGTGTTTATTCCCAATCCTTGGTTAAAGCACAGATGTATTTTTGGCAAAAATATACTCAAACTAAAGAATTGAAATCATTTTTATTCAGAATAGTGAGTCCTGTAACTGATATATTTTATACACTATGACATTTAATTAATGTGGTAAAAAAGAAAAAAATGAAAACAACAAATTCTGGACTAGGCTCTTTAGCAAGACTGCAAATAACTCATGGACATCTGAGAAACCTGAAACAAGGAGTCTCAACAAGACAATATTTTATTTTATGCGTTCACAGGCTGGTTTGATTCTCTAACAATGTAATGTATTAAGTGGAATATAAACGTTATATCAAATTTATAGAAAGTAACTGGTTGCCAGATAAATGTTGAACGGTGAAAACACCAGATTTTCTCTGAATTGTTATGAAGGCTAAGCACAAAGGTGCAAAAAATGTAAATATGTAAGTATAAGTATCTCAACAGTATACTTAAGCCCAGGACATAAACTTCAAGTTCTCACCATTTCATTACTGTCAGCAGGGAAAAGATGGCATGTGTGGTCAACAAGTTCACATCCAACCGTGCTTTTTTGACTTTGCAAGCAGCAGCAGAGGCAATGGAGTTCCACACTGAACAATATCACTGTTCTGTAGAAAAGACATAAAATAAAGCTACACTTGTGGAAAAATTCTGCAGTATTTCCACTGTTTTTCATATCAGTCCGAATCTCTCCTGCACAGTAAAACCCATCTTTTACAATCCTTCTCTCTCTCACTCTCCCCCTCATTGTAGGTGTGTGACTCTTGGCACTGTTTGTGCTGAATCATGTGAATATCAAACAATGACTGGCTGGACAAAACTGACAACTAATGAAATAACTTTGTGGGAGTGTGACACCCCGGGGTGGGGGGAGGCTTCACAGTCACCCCTCATTTCAGTCTGCTGGGCCTATGGCAGGCCGATCTGCCGGCTGGCTTGGACACTGTGGGTACTGTTGGCAGAGTTTCCACCCCTGGGCGTCCCGTATATATTGAGCTCGTCGTGCCATCACAAACACACTGGCACAGACAGGTACTGGTAAGGGGCTCACGTCCGTCATGCTGTATTTTATAAAGTTTATTCTTTTAATCATTAAACTTCCTCTTTTTGCCACTATATTTTAGGTTTAATCTCTACAAATGTCATCATATGTTGCATTTTTTTAGTTCTTTGATCAGAAGGCTGTGAACTTATTGTGGAGGGAGAGACATTTTGCATGTGTATGAGAAAACAATAGATAACAAAATCTATTAAAGTGCAATTAACAGCTGCTCATATTCTACAAACATTTACTTTTTTGTACATCATATAGACATCCATCAATATTTAAAACAATAAAATTATAATTTTGTCTGTATTTCTTTTCAGTTTCATCCTTGCCAATCCATTCGCTATGGCCACAGACCACCAGAACCCTGCATCCAAGCAGCAGCAGCCAGGCTCCAGTGCATTTAAGGTGAGAGCAATAGACAAGCAGAGACCAATTTAATCACAGTTTACAACATTTCATCTTTTAAACATCAGATTGGCACACTTGAAATTGAGACCAGCAGCTCAGCAGCACTCAAAGAGCTTTTTTTGAAACACAGTTTCTCTTCTTCTTTTTCCCACAGCTGGTTATCTATGAGCAGGAAAACTTCCAGGGACGCTGCCACGAGCTGACTGGTCCCTGTAACAACCTCCAGGAAGCAGGCGTGGAGAAAGTGGGCTCCATACTGGTGCTGTGTGGACCGTGAGTGTGGGTCAGAGACAGTCAGACAACTAGAAAATGATTTAGGCAGAGTAAGAGGGGGTTGCTCAGTGAAGGAATAGGGGAGAAAACGGACAGAAAAACAGATTAATATGTGCTAAACATATTAGCTCTCTTTGCTGTTCAGCACCTGTTGCAACCACAAGCCTCCCTCTCTGTTTCAGATGGGTGGGATATGAGCAGGCCAACTGTAAGGGGGAGCAGTATGTGTTTGAGAAGGGGGAGTATCCTCGCTGGGATTCCTGGACCAACAGCAGGCGTAGTGACACCCTTGTTGCATTCCGCCCGATTAAAGTGGTAGGAATGCACACTTTTTGAATACATATTCACAGCCCCATCCCACCAGCTGCTTAACAGTTTGTTTTGTTACTTTCTTAGGACAGCCAGGAGCACAAGATTGTCCTTTACGAAAACCCCGGCTTTGCAGGGAAGAAGATAGAAATCATAGACGATGATGTCCCCAGCTTTCACGCACATGGATACCAGGAGAAGGTCTCCTCTGTTCGGGTTCAGAGTGGCACGTGAGTCCATCCTCCCAGCAGATGTTGTATCATAACAAAATCTCCTACATGTGTCTTGTAAGCATCCTTTGCCCTCTAACTTGCTGACATTTGTTTTCCCTCTCTGTGCTCCGGGTGCACCAGTTGGGTGGGCTATCAGTATCCAGGCTACAGAGGCTATCAGTACCTGTTTGAAAAGGGAGAGTATAAGGACAACAGTGAGTTCGGGGCCCAGTTCCCTCAGATCCAGTCGGTTCGGCGCATCAGAGACATGCAGTGGCATCAGAGGGGTGCTTTTCACCCCACCAACTAAGCTTGTGACTCTTTCCTGTCATGAATCCTGACCTCGACAATCTTGCTCCCCTCCAGCAGCAACACCCCCCTTGTCCTTCATTTACACCATACAGCATTTTGATATCTATTGCAGCTGTTGCAGTAGTGACGTTCTTTGAAGCAAACTAATAAATCCTCGTTGCTTACACCTCACTTGGTCATGTGATTTACTTCTGTTTTGCTCTCCACACAAGTTCTTCAGACTTCAACACTTTAAAAGTCACCACCTTTGAATGAATGTAAAAGGCAGTGAATCATGTTCAGTCCACATGAAAACACCGTGAAAGGCGTTATAAGGTTGACGCATGCGCACAGGCCACCTCCGACCACCAGGCTGCGCTGCAGGAAACTCACAGTCGAAGTCACTTTGTGTTCCGGCTAACACATGATGAAACAACATGCTGCCCCATGTTGTGTGATACTTATGTTATTTAAGTAAAAAGAGTCATATTTGAAAAGTGTTTTTCTGTTGTTCTTCATCCCGACATCTTCGGTTCAAGCCTCAGTTCGTCGAAGACTTCGGTATGAAAATGCTACCTATTATAAATGCGACTACTTAGCTTAGCTTGCTAGCTAACGTTAGCCCTGTTTACTCGTTAAATGTTGCCTCTCTGCTGATTTCATAAGTTAAGGTGCTTAACTCTTGAATTCAGAATGCTTAAAAAATACAAAAACATGTACAAGTTACTCGCCTCTTTCTCAAGTGTTGTGTGTTTTTAACGTGTTAGTCGGAGTGTCACGTTGTATGAAGTTCATCAGTTATGTCATGCAGTACATCCTGGGATAATTGTCTCACATACAATCACATTACATTTATTTAGGGTGTAATTGAAACTCTATGAATGTAATGAAGTTTGTCATTTTCCAAAATCTGGCTAGAATGAACATATGGGGTGTTTGGATAATTGATTTTAGCCAAGAACGTGATATCATAAAATGGTTAACATGACAGATTTTTCGCGTTTGTTTATTTTATTTTATTTATTTTTTTTGAAAAATGTAAGACATAAGTTTTTGGGGGGTTTTTTTGCAATGCATGAACAAAGTATTTGATTGCACCGAAATTGTAGGTAGAGTTGTTGTACACAGTTCATATTATGGCAGCAGCTAAAGGTTATTTTCATTGTTGATTAATGTGCTTTTTAATCAGTGTTTCCCACAGCCTAAGATAGCAGCTGTATTGTTTTGTCCCCAACCTAGAGTTTACTGTTATCAGAAAATGTTCACATGTAAGAAACTGAAATTAGAGTATTCTGATTTTTTTTTTTAAAAAACATTTATCAAACCAGTTGCTGATTAATATAAAATCCGACAACTTATCAGTTATTCGTTACAACTTTAGTTCACACCTGACGATCAGTTTCTAAGTACAGACACACAACGTCTGACACAAAAGATAAAGAAAGAGAAAAAGCCACTGATATTAAAAACTGTAGGTCAGCTGTACCGAAGCGTCTTCACCCATTGCAGCTTTTTGATCATTTATTTGTGAGACCTTGGTGGGAAATTATCTAGGGACATTTGTTAAACTCATTTTGAACACTATTGGGGTTTATCTTGTTTTGTTTTGTTTTTTTAATTTTAATTAAAAAATTTATTTTTTTTTTATTACAAACAGTCAAGATGCCTGCCCAGTGTAGCAGTTGCACTGAGAAACGTGCTGTGCTGAAGCGTCCAAAAACCGGCCACTCACTGTGTAAGGAGTGCTTCTTCTGGGCCTTTGAAGAGGAAGTGCATCAGACCATCGTGGCTGCAGAGCTGTTCAAATCTGGGGAGACAGTAGGAATCGCTGCCTCAGGAGGAAAAGACTCCACTGTGCTCGCACATGTAATGAAGCTCCTAAATGAGCGATACAGCTATGGCCTGGAACTTATGCTTATCTCAGTGGATGAAGGAATCACCGGTTACCGAGATGACTCCTTGGAGACCGTGAAGAGGAATCAGCAACAGTACGAGCTGCCACTAAAGATTGTGTCCTATGAGGAGCTGTATGGCTGGACTATGGATGCTATAGTGAAGCAGGTGGGACTGAAAAACAACTGCACCTTCTGTGGAGTGTTCAGAAGACAGGCATTAGACAGAGGAGCTGTTATGCTGAAAGTGGACAAGATATGCACCGGTAAGATTGCAAAAGTGTATATACGCTATCAGTGTTAGTTTAAATGTTTTGTTAGAGTAACTGAATGTGTGTTTTTTTTCCCAGGTCATAATGCTGACGATGTGGCAGAAACCGTTCTGATGAACGTCCTGCGAGGGGACATAGCTCGACTGCGCCGCTGTACTGCGATCTCCACATCCAGTGAGGGCGAAGGGGTCGTGCCGCGCTGCAAGCCCCTCAAATATGCTTATGAAAAAGAGATTGTTCTGTATGCTTACTTCAAGAAGTTAGACTACTTCTCAACTGAATGTATCTACTCTCCCAATGCTTATCGTGGCTACGCAAGAACCTTTTTGAAGGACCTAGAGAGCATAAGGCCCAGTACCATAATGGATATCATCCACTCTGGAGAGAACTTGTCTGTGCGAGAGGGGGTGAAGATGCCCGTCCAGGGAACCTGCAGCCGCTGTGGCTACATCTCCAGTCAGGCGCTGTGCAAGTCATGTGTGCTGCTGGAGGGGCTGAACCGAGGTCTGCCGAAGCTGGGTATTGGCAAACACCACCGCTTGCATGATAAAATCCTCTCCCAGCAGCCCCTAACTGAGAAGGAGGAGAGGAAGCTGAAGTCCGTTGACTTTTGACCATCAGCATAACCTGTTTTATTTACCAGAAGATATAAGAAATTTTTAGAATAAACTACATTTGATATGGGAAAAGACTATGCAAAGAAATCCAATCTCTTGTTTTTGTTTATGATTCGCTGAATATTTATTGAACTTTTCTATGAACTTTTGATTTTGGTAAACCAGAGAAAAACTTACAACAGTGAAGCATCTTCACAGCATAGAAAGTCCAGTCATTGGTGTTTTAAAGCCACTAAACTGGATGATTGTTTCCAGTCATGTAAAAAAAGTGCCTTTTGTTGTTGGGTACTTCTAAATAATTGCACATGTATCCAGCTGTTTTTACTGTAATTGGCCACATGTATATGGAAGTGTGTGAGAAAGATTCTTGTTTTAAATCTTTTTTAATTTCTGCATTTCTTATTAAACCAATCTTTGGGGAGGATATGATGACATGATGTTATAGACCTATTCCAAGATGTTCTATGAATGATAATTTAATAAACACATTGACCTTTATTTTAATTTTTGTCATATTTTTATGGTTCTGGTAAGAAGGTGGGCTGCAAGGTGGCGCAGTTTGTAGCACTGTTGCCTCGCAGCAAGAAGGTCAAGTCTTGGTGGGGGCACTGGGATCTTTCTGCATGGAGTTTGTATGTTCTCCCTGTGCAATGTGGGTTCCCTCCGGGTTCTCCGGCTTTCTCCCACAGTCAAAAAACATGTTGAGGTTAATTTATGATTCTAAATTGTCCGTAGGTGTGAATGTGAGTATGCTTGGTTGTCTGTCTCTAAGTGTAGCCCTGTGATAGACTGGTGACCTGTCCAGGGTGTCCCCTGCCTTCACCCTCGGTCAACTGGGATAGACTCCAGCCCCCCCCCATGACCCTAGTGAGGATTAAGCGATGTATAGATAATGGATGGATGGATGATTTAAAATCATGTTCAAAACACGCACAATATATTTATGATTGATACATATTTGTTAGGTGAGAGCGTCTGAGTGTTTTAAAGAAACTAACAAATCACCAGAATTGAGGAAATAAGTGTTTGTTGGCCAAAATTTCCTTGTGGAGGACGCCCAAACCACCCACTTAAGCCTTTACCAGACTTGTGACATTGCTGCTTGATAAATTCAGGGGAAAAACTTACAAACATCTGGCAGCGACCCAGATCCAGATTCATTTAATCATAAGTGTTTGACATTTATCTAAGCTGTTAGTGTTTTTATTGAAAGCGAGCAGAGTGGTCATTCAGACATGAAGTTTTGAAGATTAGTGGCATACAATGCATGTCTGAAAGGGGCTTGAGTATGTCCCCCCTTACAGTTGTCCTCAAATGTATTCATACCCTCCCATTAAAGAAGGAAAAAAACAGCTGTCACTGAAATAAGTTGAAATTGACAAAAGTAATAACAAATAAAAATGGAATGAAAATCATGACTGTTGTGAATTTTGCCTTTCTTTAATGGAAGGTTATGAATAAATTTGAGGACGACTGTATGTGCGCGTGAAAACTACGCCCCTGTATTTTACATTTAAACATGCAGTTCCGCCTTCTGGCCGCTAGGTGTCGCTCATTACCGAGCATCAGCCACCGTGCGCGTTCCTGTAAAGTACACATGCACATATTGCAGCGCGTTCACGACAGCGATCCTGACCAACTTCCAGGGCAGCAGCAGCGGTGGCGAAGTTTGAAGAGGAAAATTCAGACTTCGTAAGCAGTCGAGGCGCTCTTCAAACAGAAAACTGACGCAGGCCACAAGCAGGCAGCCGCTATGGAGGATTTAGGTAAGTTGTGGAGCAGTTTTCCTTCAACTCCGTGTTTTTCTTGCTCTCAGTGAGCAGCGGGTAGCTGGGTGGAGGAGTTGTTGCGACGAGACTTTAAGTTGAAAAGACCGTTTGTGGTTCACTGTAGGTCAGTCACCTTAGTCTGAAAAAGCCCGCTAATATCTGACAGAAACGTTACAGTTCAGTGTGAAAGAGTGAGTGTTTGACACAGCTCACATTTCTCCTACCTTGTTTTCAATAAGCATCGTAGTAACTTAGCGGCTGGACATCGCTAGCCTCCTTCACCAGCACCTCCTTTTAAACTTTCCGTAGTAATGTCTCTGATCATAATACATTCTCCTTCCCATTTAAACCAACCACTTTTGGTCAATATATGTGCCACAGGGAGGAGATATTTGGCTGACATTTTGACATCGAGCTTTAACATTACCTCCTCAACTCTTGCCCCCAGGCTATTCATTCCAGCTTTGAAGTGGTGGAGTCAACAGGCCTCCCCATTTAGACTGCTCAGTGCAGCACAATGTGAGCTCAGCCCTGGCTTGGCTGACTTAAAACCAATCTCCAATCTGATGGAGCACACTTGGCTGTTACTGATGCATAATTACTGACCACACACTCCACTTTGTTGGTCCTTTTATATATTATAAGAAAGCTTTGACACAGGACACAGAGATGGAAATTGTGAGTTATGGCAAACAGGAACATTTGACTACTGTTTGTGATCAGACATGTGCAAGTCATAAGTTTAAAAAAAAGACCCCAAAGAAACCTCACATCTCCTCTTACTATGCCAAATGTGCTCTTTTACTTGGTTATGGGAAGGATGAAGCACTGTGAGTTATTGGTTCCTGACCTTGTGCTGTTGTTCTGTTGATTTCTGCTGCAGGGCAGGTTTTATATGGTGAGCTGGTGTAGTTGTGTCTTAAGTAAGCGAAGCTGCAGTACAGTTGCTAGGTTATTGATTCATTATTATACATTTACGATTAGAATTCCCTTCACCATTAACTTTAGTCTGCCAGCTAAGTACAAAGTTAATTGAAAGACTTATTATTGCTGAACAGTAACCAGCTTTTTAAAGTAAAAGATGGCTTCTTATCATGGTAATATATTTTCTATAATTGCTGTTAGAATAGACAACATTTAAGATATATCACAAGTTGTAAAAACAAGTACCTTGTTGTACATGATTAGTGGTTGAGTACCTGAAGCTGTTTTGCTCAGAGTAATTATAGTCTAGGAAAAGCAGCAAATTCTCATGTTAGACTGACATAAATCACTTGAAAAAAATCTTTATTTAAAAATATTCAATTAACCATTAGCCAAGTGCCTTTACATGCCTTTTGTCTACCCCATATTCTACAAGCACTGACAACAATTGGTAGCATACTGTATATAAGCCTGTCACAACTATTTCATAATTGCCTTCATAATTGAACTGACCTCAATTATCATGCATAATCATTAGACTCATTTCCAGTTACCTGTATAAAAACAGCTGGATAAATGTGACAGAAATGAAAATTCATCATTGTCATTTTTCATTACTATGTCCAAGTCATTTCCCACTGTTTGTGATCTTCTTTGCTTTAATCTTAAGGCGTAAGTGCCTCAAGATAAATGTTTGTCTTGAGGCACTTAACCCCTAATATTTGACCGACTTTTGATGAACATCTATTGACATTATCAACATAATTTAGTTACCGAACGAACACGACTACACCCCTGTGACCACATTTTGGTTTTAAGCCAAGTGAATAAGAAGAGCTCAGTAACCTGGAGAACATCACTTGGCAATTTTCCAGCAAAAAGGGGGCTTTTGAAGTTGCTGATACCACTAATCTAAAACTAATAGAGTTGTAAAATGAGCAGACATAGTTAAACTGGTAATTGTTAACTAAACTTTTGTGACAGCCCCAACAGTATACTTTTTTTGTCCCTGCCTCGTAGTAGCTTCATCTATTTTTTGTGCCCCACTAATCATTAGCCCTTGATCTTTGACACTGAACTTCTGAACTTCTAATTCTGTTGTTATAGTTTTTAGCAGCTGGTCACTCGCTATATTTACTTTCGTAATTTAGAGTAAATCACGTTGTTTCGCCTGTCAGGTATCTGCAGGAATTGTCCCATTGCACTGATCTCCCAAAGTAGAACAGCAGCAAAATGGATTTGTGAATTGTTTAAGTGGAGAGACGACGGGCCACATTTTGTGTTTGGCCTGCTGTGAGAATACCTCCAGGGTTCGTTAGATGCTCTTGCTGCCATAGGCCACTGAAAGGACTGATTGTTGGTTGAGAGGGAGCCTGCAGGCTCACTGAAGCAGTGTGAACAGCGGGCTGAAGGAGGGGGCGAGGCTGCTGAGGAATTTCGAACATCACTCTGTGTCAGGGTCCAAGGCCAAATACTCTCAGGGTCATGACTCACCTCCTGCCACTACTCTCAACTCCGTGTGTGCTGCCACCAGAGGGAGGGCTGCCGGTTTCAGCCTGTCTCCCTGAAACTTGGGTCCTTTGGTAATTGCACACACTTGGAGATTGTTAAAAACTTTGAGCTTTGAGGTCTGGTAGCGTGATAATCACAGAACTGTTAAGTTAAATGGCTTTCATCTGTCCTACTGTAGCAATCTAAACATTTTTATCCACATCATATGTCGGTCCACTCCCACGTTCTTTCTAAATATGCAGAAACAAATCATGTTAAATATTTGTAAATACTTTATGACTGAGGTTTACTGTACTTCCAGTGAACCCCAGCTAACAAACCCCTGCAGGTCCTGGTGTTGAGGCTCACTGGTTACTGACAGGTCTACATTGAGATGTTTGGAAACCTGACCAGACTCTAGTCTTTTCCCTCTTCTTTAACTCTGTTTGTCTATTGATCTGCTCTTGTTGCTTACCACTTGAGGAAGGGAATCCCCTCAGCAGAGTGAGAGCACTCCTGCAGTCTGTTCGTCTGAGTCACATTTTTCCAGAGGATTTCTCTGATCAGTTTTTTCACAATCCAAGCCAGGTGGTTGCCAGGCCTATAGCCTCACTGTCATTACTGATGTGGCCAAGGGGACGAGTCACGTGGGGTATGAAGCCACCATTCAGCTCTCTGTCAATTCCTCAGGGTTGTGTGAGATTCAGACACACTGACCTCACTCACTTTGCTGGAGACACCCTGTTCCATGTGTGCAGGTTAACACTGAACATACTGGATTAATATAGACTTACATGGCACTGGAGGGCCATGACCAAAGTGAAAATACCACTAAAGAATAATAAACTCTTCTTTTGTTAGTTAATTCCCAAAATTGGTTGTTTTTATTGCAGTGTAATCAAATTCAAAGATTACTGACTGGACAAAGTGGGTAACTTCCCCAGAGGACTCATTGATGTATTCTGTATTTGTCAAGTAATATGTACTGTTAAAGCACAATATGAACTGAAATTCTAAACATGTAAAGCCTCTTCATTTTAGCCAAGTACATTTTGAAAGACAGAGGAATTAAACCAGTCCTTTCTATTGCAAAATGTAGGTTGTCCCTTAAAGATTTCAGTTGATGCCAAGCAGCCACCTGGAGCTGAAAAATCAAGTGCAGACTGTAGTTCTTAGAGTGGCCCTTCAGGCAGACTTCAAAAGCGAGGCAGTTCCCATGTTAATATGCCAAACTTTACAACAATAGAGTTGACAAGATGTGCTTTTTGTATAACATTTAAGTTGTACCACAGCTTAAAGTCATGCATGATAGGTTTTTAATGCACGGAGGACCAATTATGCTTACTGTGATGTGTAGACACCTGCCAAACGCCCATTTTAAGCCAGAAAAACCTTGATTCGGAGGATGGCTGCTCTGACTGATGGGTGGGTGATTCTAGGTTAGTAAGTCAGAGTCAGACACTGCCAAGGTGGCGATGGCTGGTGCCTCCACACTGAGCTTCAAAACCACTGTTCAAGAAACCTGAGGGGGATGCCACAAAGGATTCACCAATCTATGTCTGCAGTTCATACTAGTGTCATTGTCTAGCTCGAATAATGAGACATTTAATCAAACTACAGCCAAACTAAATTTGGGATCCCAGGGTCAATAGGGGCCACCTTTATGTGTTAATTCATGTAAATAATGTGTTTTAGAGTGTTTTTTTTCAGAAACCTACACAATTTAAATCGAAAGAAATATATTGCAACATAAAAACAGTCCAGTGTAGTGACAGAAAAGTGCTCGAACACCTTTGCATTATTTGAACACTGTTGAATCAAGAGTTTTCATCGTACAACACTGTACACATGTATACATGTCCCACCTCTGTTGTTTTCCTGTAACTTTGAGGTCTGTAGCTTGTCAGACTTGTACGCAGAGATAAATATCTGAATAGACATGTGACAGCAAGACCTCGACAGTCAAAAAGCTGCTTTAATCTTTTGTTTTTCCTAATCCTTCAGCTGAGCAGGTAAAACATTAATCAGAAAATAGAATAAAGAAAGAATAGTGTGCAGTTGCCTACAGATAAACATCATTCATCTGAGAAGAAGCACGGCAGAGAACAGGTGCTGTTTATTGTTTAAATGCAGACAGGCTTTAAACCACTCATGGAGCCACTCAGCTTCATTTTGCAGACATACTGAGGCCCATGTATGTCTTTATGGTGGATGTGTGTGATAAAGCACACAGTAACACTTTCTAAACACACACTGAAGTCCTGTGAGGTTAAGTATCAGCTGATCACCTTGCAGAGGCGGGTCTTACTCTCAAGACAGTAATAAGAGTTGGCTGAGGTGTAAGCAGCATAGTCTTAAATGTTTACAGCGTTTGCACAGCATACCAAAAAATCTTAGAAGGGCTTTAGTGGTTTCTGTGTCCCAGTGTGTCGGCCGGACAGAGTTAGTGTTACCAGACCAGCTATCATCACCCTTTGAGAGCTGCAGGGTTAGTACATACCACCCCTAACCAGCGGGCTCGCCTGCTAGGCTAGAGGGAAGCTCCTGACTGTAAATCAGTCTTGTTCCCTGAGTTCCACACC